GAATTATCAATTTGGTTTGGCCTACTAGATTGATCTTTCTTGCCATGGGAGAAGTGCTTAGCTTTGGGTTCAATCTTGCGGTGTTCGTACCCAATGACAGAAAGGGTTGCAAGACACGTATTGTATTGTTGCCATCGAGGATAACAAGATGGGGTTTATATCATATTGCATGTGTTTATCCCTCTACATCATGTCATCTTGCTTAATGTGTTACTTTGTTCTTATTAACTTAATACTCTAGATGCAGGAAGGAGTCGGTCGATGTGTGGAGTAATAGTAGTAGATGCAGGTAGGAGTCGGTCTACTTGTTATGGACGTGATGCCTATATACATGATCATGACTAGATAATCTCATAATTATTCTCTTTTATATCCATTGCTCGACAGTAATTTGTTCACCCACCATAATAGTTATGCTATCTCGAGAGAAGCCTCTAGTGAAACCTATGGCCCGAGGGTCTATCTCTTATCATATTTGCGTCCAATCTACTTTTATTTGCATCTTTACTTTTTGCATCTATATTATAAAATACCAAAAATATATTTATCTTATCATACTATCTCTATCAGATCTCACTTTCACAAGTGGCCGTGAAGGGATTGACAACCCCTTTATTGCGTTGGTTGCGAGTTCTCAGTTTGTTTGTGTAGGTGCGTGGGACTTTTGAGGAGCCTCCTACTGGATTGATACCTTGGTTCTCAAAAACTGAGGGAAATACTTACGCTACACTTGCTGCATCACCCTCTCCTCTTCGGGGAAAACCAACGCAAGCTCAAGACGTAGGAAAGTGGGGGAGAGGAAAACGAGAGGCAAATGGCAAATAATATAAATGCGAGGGAGATGAGTTTGTGATGGGTACTTGGTATGTCTTTACTTGAGCGAAGACCTCCCCGGCAACGGCGCCAGAAATCGCACGTTGGCGGGAGGTCGAATCTTGACTTGACTTGGTGGAAGCCTCCCCTGCAACGGCGCCAGAAATCCTTCTTGCTACGTCTTGAGCTTGCGTTGGTTTTCCTTGAAGATGAAAGGGTGATGCAGAAAAGTAGCATAAGTATTTCCCTCAGTTTTTGAGAACCAAGATATCAATCCAGTCGGAGGCTCCTTAAAAGTCCCACGCAGCTAAACAAACAAACAAAGAATTCGCAACCAACACAATAAAGAGGTTGTCAATCCCTTCATGGCCACTTGTGGAAGTGAGATCTTATAGAGATAGTATGATAAGATAAATATATTTTTGGTATTTTATAATATATATGCAAAAAGTAAATATGCAAATAAAAGTAGATTGAAAGCTTATATGATAAAAGTTAGACCTGGGGGGGCATAGGTTTCACTAGAGGCTTCTCTCAAGATAGCATAAGTATTACGATGGGTGAACAAATTACTGTCGAGCAATTGATAGAAAATAGAATAATTATGAGATTATCTAGGCATGATCATGTATATAGGCATCACGTCCGCGACAAGTAGACCGACTCCTGCCTGCATCTACTACTATTACTCCACACATCGACCGCTATCCAGGATGCATCTAGAGTATTAAGTTCATAAGAACTTTGTAACACATTAAGAAAGATGATGGATAAACTCAAGCAATATGATATAAACCCCATCTTTTTATTTTCGATGGCAACAATACAATATGTGCCTTGCAACCCTTTCTGTCACTGGGTAAGGACACCGCAAGATTGAACCCAAAGCTAAGCACTTCTCCCATGGCAAGAAAGATCAATCTAGTAGGCCAAACCAAACTGATAATTCGAAGAGACCTGTAAAGATAACTCAATCATACATAAAAGAATTCAGAGAAGATTCAAATATTTCTCATAGATAAAGTTGATCATGAACCCACAATTCATTGGATCTCGACAAACACACCGCAAAAAGAGTTTACATCGAATAGATCTCCACAAGAGAGGGGGAGAACATGGTATTGAGATCCAAAAAGAGAGAAGTCATCTAGCTAATAACTATGGACCCGAAGGTCTGTGGTAAACTACTCACAACTCATTGGAGGGGCTATGATGTTGATGTAGAAGCCCTCCATGGTCGATTCCCCTTCCGGCGGAGCACCGACGCAGGCTCCAAGATGAGATCTCGCGGATACAGAAGGTTACGGCGGTGGAATTAGGTTTTTGTTGGCTCCCTGGATGTTTTCGGGGTACGTAGGTATATATAGGAGGAAGAAGTACGTCGGTGGCCGCTCGAGGGGCCCGAGAGACAGGGGCGCGCCCTCCTATCTCCTGGCCGCCTCGATTGCTTCTTGACTTGCACTCCAAGTCCTCTGGATCACGTTCATTCCAAAAGTCACGCTCCCGAAGGTTTCATTTCGTTTGGACTACGTTTGATATTCCTTTTCTTTGAAATACTGAAATTGGCAAAAAAGAAAGCAATACGGGCTGGGCCTCCGGTTAGTAGGTTAGTCCCAAAAATGATATAAATATGTAAAATAAAGCCCATAAACATCCAAAGGGGGTAATATAATAGCCTGGAACAATAAAAAATTATAGATACTCTGGAGACGTATCAGAGGCATGCGCCTCTTTCGATCTGTATCCCAGTTTGTGCTAGCCATCTTATGGCACCTTGTTTAACTTATGTCTGTACTCAGATATTGTTGCTTCCGCTGACTCGTTTATGATGGAGCACTTGTATTCAAGCCCTCAAGGCCCCTGGCTTGTAATATGATGCTTGTATGACTTATTTGTTTTTTTAGAGTTATGTTATGATATCTTCCCGTGAGTCTCTGATCTTGATCGTACATGTTTACGTGCATGATTAGTGTACGATTGAATCGGGACCGTCACATGATAGTGTTTCCACAACTGGGTTACCAAACGGCTAAACTTCACTGCAACAGTTTTCTCAACACATCAACTTTGTTAGCACAACAAATGCACAATTGAACAACCCAAACAAATCAGGCCACAGTGGACGCAAAATACGAGTGGCGCAGCACCTCCATAACCTATAACGTGGTTCCGCCCTAGAGACAGCAATAGAAAACTTCATTTAAACATTGGGTGTGTCGCTGGCAAGTGAGCCCTCCCATCAACTCAATTGAAGAGGCAAATTTTGGGTATACCTTCGTCAACCGAAAGTGTATTTACAAGTCCTATTTGCCACCCGAGGCGGCTTCGCTGATGGCGACCACTCCGACACCTCAGTTTGGGCTGGCCCATGGTCGGGTTTTACTATTTTTTTCTTCTTCCTTTTTCTGTTCTTGTTTGTAGTTCTTTTATCTTTCTTGTTTTTATTTTTTTCCTTTGTTTTCCTTTTCTCTCTTATTTAAAAAAGCTTGAAATTCCAAATTTTGTTTATAATAACAAAAATTCTTCACAATTCTAAAAATTCATCGCAATTTTAAAAAATGTTCAAAATTTTAAAGGTTCAAGTTTATGAAAAATCATGTTCTTCAATTTTTTTTGGCTTTTTCAAATCTTCGTGATTCTAAAAAATTGGTTGGAACTCAAAATTGTTCCTAATTTCCGGAAATGTTCACATTTCATAAAAAAAAATCTTCAGGTTTTTGAATTGTTCGCTTTTCAAAAAATTAAAAAAAAACAAAATTCAAAATTTGTCCATAAGTTTCTAAAATATATTATACTCCCTCTGTAAGAAATATAAGAGCGTTTAGATCACTACTTTAGTGATCTAAATGCTCTTATATTTCTTTACGGAGGGAGCATATTTTAGTAGATTTTTAAAATATGTAGCTTCTGAAGCCGGTTCTTTTTTGGGTGTAAACACCCGCTAAGAAACACAAAGGAAAAATAGACAATCTTGTTGGCAATGCGGGCCGGCCCATTTGCGCTGCCCTTCAGAGAAAGCTTGTGACTAGTTCTCGGTCTTTTGCTTCCTCAACGCGAAGGCTATGTTTTCTTATTATTTGAGAATGCAGAAGCATAACTCGGAGTAAACTATTGACATTGACCAAGATCCAAGAGCGGGAGCAACTAATTGAGTACTCCTTCATGATCCCCCGCAGGGGTCACTTGGGGTGGGCTGGCAGGGTGCCACTTGCATGCTCTCAGCCACCGCCACGTGTTACGCTCTAGGCGCTCACTTCGGAATTTTTTTTAATTTTAATATTTCTGTACGTGTTTTCGCCTTTTAGATAAAAATGTTTCCGGTTTTCCTCAGATTTTCCTTAGGATTTGGACCCTAAAATTTTTAAAAAATTATTTGCACAAAAAATGTGTTTCCTTTTTTTCTCCTTCCGCGGGAGGCACATATTTACTTCTTGTGGGGGCACAGATTTGCTTCGCAAGAGAAACAATCATGCCTCTCGAAAAGGAAAAAAATGCGTTTTTTTTGTTCCGCGAGAGACACAAATTTACTTGTCGTAGAGGCACGGATATGCTCGAGAGGCACATGCAGCGCATCACTTGTTGCAAACTGGCATGGCGAGAGTGATCTTTAGAAAGAGTACTCTAACTAGTTTTTTTAGACATGAGTACTCTAATTAGTTTTTTTAGACAAATGAGTACTCTAATTAGTGATTTCGTCCAAAATTTATGGACAAAATCTATTAATTAGTTTTTTAGACAAATGAAAGCTCTTCCGCTCCCTCCTCGCTGACGGGCTCGATGGATTCGTCCCGCTGGCCGTCGGCTTCCGCAGCAACGAGCAGCTCCCGCCGCCGGCCGCCTCGGCCGCCACGCTCCGGAAGGCCGCCATCCAGGCGCTCGAGCGCTGGCACCACCTCTTCGGCGTGCACTACCGCCAGCTCCGTCTCGCCGTCGACTACCTCAAGTCGTCCGCGCGCATCCAGTTCCCCGGCCTCCGCGCGGCCGTCGAGGCCCGTGCCGCGAGGGAGGCACGCACGCAGGAGATCTTGACTGCCAAGGTGGAACAGTTGCGGTCCACGATTGGATCCATAAAGGCTGAAATCCGGTCCACCATCGAAGAAATCCGCAATGGGCTGGACATCATCCGGGCTGAGTATGAGAAATTCGAGCGTTATGCAGACGAGGACGAGGAGGAGGAGATTGCTTCGATGGCGATGCGGAGTATCAGGACAGCATCGTTGATGGCCGGGCAATGGGTGCCTGAAACTCAGGAAAATGAGGCAGTTTTCGATGCGTTGAGGGAGGCGTACCGGCTCCTTATATCGAAGCATTTCAGCACGATTCAGGATTGGATATCTGTGCTTGTTAGGGTCAATCTTGCAGATAATCACTTCAGAGATTCTGCATTGAAGGAATTCATTGATGTCAAGAATGAAATACGCGCTGTAAGAGGCCAGTGCAATGAGCTTGGTCTCGATCTTGATAATGTTCGTAGGAAGAAGGATGTTCAGGAGGAAGACGAAGAGGATTGGGTGGAGGGAAAGATTGAAGTTCCTAGTCCTCCTAGAGTTGTGAGCACTCTTGATGTTGCAGGTTCCAGCAAGGGCATTAGGAAGGGAAAGAGGATGGTGGATGGAGGTAACTGTGACTTGCCAAATGGCGGTAATAGATCTCAGGAGATGGATCCAGAGAGAAAAAAGCTCCTTTCCGAAGCCCCTTTGGTATCATGGAGCTCTGTCTTGGACCGGTGGGGTTCAAATATGGATGCACATGTAAACCAGAGGGGGCTTGAGCTCGAGAGCCATTGGGGGAGGATGGATAATGATGCTGTTATACCTGCAGCAAAGATTGCAGAGTTAAATGTTCACCATTCTGTTTATAAAGAAGAACCAGTTGAGATCCTACCATGCCATGCACCTCTGAAGAAAGGAGGTCTTTGCCAGAGAAGGGATCTCAAGATATGCCCTTTTCATGGGCCCATCATCCCACGTGATGCAAGAGGAAATCCAATTGGCAAAAATGGTGGCAGCTCTGATGCGGGAGGTTATCCACTTGAGCAGAAAGTAGAAATTCATGAGGCAGGAGGAAATCCGATTAAGACAAATGGAGGTAGTGATAGTGAAAGTGCACAGGAGGATCAGGAGCCCTCTACTTCAACGATGACAAATATAAATAATGACACCAGCGACATAGATGGAGCTCATGATTTGAGTAAAATTACAATGGACCAGCTGGCGATGCAAGCAATTAAGAATGTTCGGAAAAGGGATATGGACGACAAAGCACGCGAAAGAGCCCAGCGTGCGAGAATCCGCCAGCACAATGAAAATGTTTTGCGGCAAGCGGCTATTGCTTCAACGCCCCACTCAGCGGCAGCATATGACCAGCCTTCTGGAACATTGGGCCGACATGGTCGACGTCGAGGTAAGACGAAGGAACCTACACTATCTTCAATGCTGAAGAAGAAAGTTACTGCAAAAGATAGGATTGCAGGGAGGCTTCTAAATGGTCGTGCTAGGGATGCAACAATAAGAGAAGCTTCTAATACTGAGGATATGACCTACAGGGAAGCATTCCCAAATCAGTGGCAGTGAAAGCACCCTGAGTAGGTCTTTCTTCATAATTAATAGTTTCGTTTTGCTGTGCTGTTGCATGCTTGAAGTGCTTAAAGTACGCGGAGCACTGAAGCTGCTTCCAACCTGTGCATGGAAAATTTCAGAAAGGAAAGTCATAGACCATTTGTACTGGCAGTCGGATTGAGAATCCAAATCACAACAACCGCGACAGTAAACAAGCACTCGATTTTGTGAACATGCCAAGCAGTTTGTCCTTGTTGCCGACCGTCCTTACATGATCATCCAGCTTCTCTGGAGCTACACCATCAACATCCGAGATTCTGAACTGGCCTTACAACAGCTCAGATGAGGCGGCGATAAACAGGATGATTGATACCTATCGTTTCCATTGCTAAGGAAGGCTCCTGTTTTCTCTCTTGTCTTATGTTCTGTTATCTTGGTTTTGTGGCTTGTACCGGGCAATGAACAGATTGACCCTAGGTTGTATCTTCTGCAATGGAATTACTGTTTGCTATCAGATGTGTACCAATGCCCCACAGTGTAGCTTGGTGCTGGCATCTTGTGTGCAATGTGGTTCTTAATTTCTGTAGTACATAATGTGAGCTCAACCCTTTTTACCCCTGTTTTGTATTTAGCCCAGCAACTGAGTATTTGAGTATATGTTGTGCCTCACTGTTCTTCTCCATAAGCTTTGCAATTTTACAATGTCTTGTAACTTGTTTGTTGCCAGATTTCTGGGCATCACTGCAGAATGGTCACAATTTGTAGCACGACTGCTGTCATGAACTGAAGGAAGAGCTCACCATGGCTGCTTAAGATGTGAACTGAAGATGTGCTTTGCTTATGAAAAACATTCGGACACAGTATTTTGTTGCTCTCTGGCATGTATTCTTTCCCCCTTTGTACTATACTTTCTTTGTAACCTATTCTTTGTTGGATTTCTGGGCATTATTGCATAATGGTGTAACACAATTTCTGTGAGCATATAAAAACTCGCTGTCTCTAGGTGGATGTAGACAGGTAGTTTCCTTCTGCATACACTGCATACGCATGCTGTTCATACTTAAGAGGATACAGGCGTCGCAGCATGTTAGTTGCCCACACCAGGTCACAAATTTGCATGCCCATCATCTATACTTTTTTTTAGAGAAAAGGCGCAGCGGAGCCCGAGAAAAGGCTCGAACCTTGCTCAGCTTTGAATTAACAAAGCCATCAAGACGGAAATAAAGGATACAAGGTACAATGTGGAACAGACACTAAGGCAGCGACAACCCCAGGCAAGAGCTTGAAGCACCAATGCCAACATCCACCGCAATGCCAAGTAGGAGATCATGCTTGCATCGAGTCGCTAATTGTATCCGGAGGACCAAACAGGGGCCAAACATGGTCTGTTTCTGCCGCCGCAAAGAGCCATTACCCTTCACCCATGCTCAATGGGTGCTGCACCGGCGGCCGGCAGAATGGTTCCCAGAACCCAGCACCATGGTGCACAAGCTGTCAACGAAGACACAGCAGAAACATACCCGCAAGCAGCAACAGACCAACCACCCAGGCACCGTCGCCACCTTCATCGGTGTCGCGCGCCCGCGCCGGAGCTCACCTCTGGCGGCGGCGGAGGGGGTGGGGAGGAGGGGGAGCGCTGGCGGCGGCAAGGGTTAGCCCCCGAG